GCAGTCACAAGTTGCTGTTTGTACAAAATCTGCTGCATTAAGCTCTCAGTCTACAATTGGTATGTGATTTATATTGTATAATACTTCTAAAGAGTATTGCTTTTTCATTTGTAGTTGTATCTACTCATTCCACTGGTATACCTGAAGCTACAGTGTATGCTGGACAAGTGTTTTATCAAAGAGAAGAGAGAAGAGATTTAATGAGATTCACTGCTGCTAGAGATTTGAATGCATTACTTCAGGTAATCCAAAATTTTATTATTTTTATTATTTCTCCAATTAATTGTTTTGTAGTATATTGAAAAGAAGTATTCTTATCCAGAAATGGATCAAAGTATTAGTTTTAAACTCACATCACCAAAACGATGCATTAAATTAAAATTTGATGAGCAGCAAACTGAACCAACAACAGGATGGAGAATTAAACCACATTTGGATCCATGTCAGGTAATAATCTATTATATTAGCTAGACAACAGTAGTATAGTATTTCTGTATAATAGATAAAGGAACATGAAATTCTTTGTTTCGGTGACAATAGTACAGCAGTCCCTCCATTTTGTTTAGTGTCAATATATGCTGAGAATAGTCCCCATACTGTACCTAACTTGAGTTATTCTGTACCATTGAAAGGAGTACAGGAACAAATGAAGATTATTATCAACAGACCACTGAGAAATATGTCATTATCAGGTAATGTAATATACAGCATAATTTATTGTTTTTATATTCTCTTAAATAGATTCTGTTAATATCAACAGACCACCTCCTTCAGCTCCTTCACTTCCTACTCCAAACAGTTAGTTACTAATTGTAACTGACTATTTATTATAATAACACATAGGTACAATTAGATCTGATATTGCTCATAGTATAATGACAGAATGTACTTCATTAATAAAGGACTGTGGAATTGATATCAACTTCTTAGTTGACAAGTTGCTAGAACACAAAATTGTAAATTCAAGAGAAAAAAGGAAATTAACTGCTAGAGAAACTAACGATGACAAAATGGATGAGTTGCTTCACATAATTTTGAGTTCTATTCGTATGAATGCAAAAGTGTTTGGTATATTCATAGATATACTGAGAGAGGAAGACACTTTGAGAACTATTGCACTAGCTGATACACTAATGGACAAATATAAGGAATGAAACCAAATAATAGTATTTTATGTGCCTTTTATTCTACCGTATTGGGGAAAATTTTCATGGCCCAAAAATTTCGCAGATTCGTTCAAAAATCAATTTCGTGGCTTTAATTTTCATGGTGGTTTTGTACTTTTCAGCCATCTTGAACCGTATTGAATCAATTTTTATGGATTTTATTTTTGTGGATTTTGAAAAAAACGAAATCCATGAAAATTTTGGGCCATGAAAATTTTCCACTAGATTTATACAGTATTTTTTAATTTTTAATTTTTGATGCATAGAAACTTTGAGATATTTACAAATTTTTAAAGTTGCTTAAAAAAAGACCATGTAGTATGCAAGAGTTGTGACATAAACATTTTTCCATGACATAGCTGTATAGCTTGTAAATCAGCCACAATAATTCATTCAACAGAATATAATAAGATATTTGATGTGAAGACAGGCCAGTCATTAGCAGAAAGAGCTGATACTTTTATTAACTGTATAATGTCAGTAGTTGATGTGTGTCCTGATCAGCTTGAGGTGTTTCTAAATATTGTAATGAACAAGGGAAACATTGCTTTTGTGAGGATAGCTGAACTAATCTCTCAGTGTTGTAAGTTTATTATATTAAAGTATTATATAATTAGAGTATCTTGTATAGTTAATGGAGAAGTACCTGAACAGTGTTGCATAAAATTGAATAGGCAATGAGAAGCAGACTATATTTTTAGATATTTTACATGTTCTTATTAATTTCTTTAACTTATTTTTAATCTAGCACAAAACAAGAGGTACAGGGTCTTGGTCAAATTTTGTCAAAATTGAAAAAAAGGAACTTCTCCTTTTTATAATGTTATCTGATGCATAAACATGCTATGAAAAGCAAAGAATTTTTTACTTTTATAATATAATGCATATACAAGTCCTTATCTTGTGTAGAAAGTTTGAGCTGATTCTAATTGCATTTGCAGGTTTACACAAAAATTCTGTAATGGATGGCCTCAGGATTTTAATTGCTCGTAACCACGCCCATAATTAACACGCCCCTATTAACCGACAAAAAGAGATGCCTCTATATACCAAAATCAGCTTCCATAGGAGCACGAGCAACAGACGTCTATTCTGAGTCATGTCCGCTAGTGATGGACTATATAAAAGAGAGATGAGGAGGTGGAGAAGGAGAGCTACCCCAACTACTACCTTATCTGAGACAATTGTTGACTTGCTGCGCGTGTGCTGGACTGCTGAGAGATCCAATGGTGTCCCTCTCGTGTGGACACTGCTACTGCTACGAGTGTCAGTTTGTGGAGCCATTACTGAAAATACACTGTCGACAATGTAGAGGGAGGGAAGGCCTAGTCATTAATAATCAGCTAAGACTAGTCGCTAGTTTATACAGGGAACTCATTCATTTATTGGGATTGGCCACACCTACCGACCACGCCCTACAGGAACTGGTACTGGAAGTGACGGAAGGTGTCAAAGTCTCGAAAGGATTGTTTTATATATTACCGCCCACACGTTATCGGAAATTAACGAGTTTGAAACCTTGAAGAGCAAATCAAGAGAGACCTCATCGTCGAT